TAAAATATGCATAAAAGCATTCCACATGGAAAAAACAATAAAATATTAAGCATGCCACATATCAAGATGACCACCGCTCCGAAACACGGACCCGGCGGCGTGACATCAGCACGTAGCCTCCGCCCTGTAATTTCACTTTGTTTATTGATGGAAAGGTTAGTTTACCAGTCTTACTTTAGTTTATTCAATATCAGTATTCTTACAGCTCTGTTTACTCTGATATGTACTATAATAATGTACCTGTTCATTGTTTTCTTCCACATTTTGTATTAGCTAATAATACCCCTGGCCACCAATACAAAATAAGGAAACCAAGAACCAAGTCATTGCTAGTTTCCTGGCTGTTATGTGGATCCAATAGTTTCAATTCAATACAGTCTGTGCTAAACCACAGCAAGTATGCAGATCGGGAATTCTGATTTTACTGTGACTTTCTAATCTGGTAGCTTTTTTCCAGGTTAATGACTCCTAAAACTGAAAATATTTGTATAAATAGAATTATAAATAGTGCAGCGCTCAAGAAACAATACTAACTCAAATACTACAATAAATGTGCTCACATGCAATAGTATCACAAAATTAATCAAAAACAAATCATTAAGTGAGATATCTTCATTATAAAGTGGCACTCAGTATTATTCCCTATCACTTAGTGCCCACATAATCAAACAAATATATCAAAAATAAACTACCATTTGAAAAAAAAACAATTTTCGCAGTGTTCCAAGTGTAATAACGTGACCACACTTTATATACTACTCAAAGTCCAAAAAAAATAGTAGAAATGTCCATAAAAAACTGATATTAATAAATTCATGCAATGTGCAAACAGAAGTGCAAAACAAATGTGTTCTTATTCCGCAACCGTGCCACTCTTCACCTAAGGCTAGATTGCCTCCTCACCTCCTTAAACCGACCCCTAAGGGCCAAACAGCTTTCAGGATCACTCTGGATCCTATCCCCTGGCGCCGGAAATGCGCACCGCGTACCGGAAGTTTGCGTGCTAACGTGCCTACGCGTAACGGGCATTCAATGCCCAGAGGAAGTCACGAGTGATAGTGACGTAACGCATAGGCACGTTAGCACGCAAACTTCCGGTACGCGGTGACGCATTTCCGGCGCCAGCCGCCATCTTGGTATACCCAGGAAGTCCTTCTGATTACATGCAGCACACCCACATACTGGCTAAGGAAGACTATGGACATATGTTAGTGGCTATGTATATTTGAGTATTACCATTAAAGTGTTTTGGCCTTAATACTGCACTTAGAGGATTCTTCTTTTCTGTTCACTGGGTTTGTGAGCAGTTGTTCTCCAGAGGCTTCCGATTGGGGGTAATGGATGTCCACTAAAGTGATCCACAACGTCAGGAGAAGTGCGTGTCGCCAGGGGATAAGGATCCAGAGTGATCCTGAAAGCTGTTTGGCCCTTAGGGGGTCGGTTTAAGGAGGTGAGGAGGCAATCTAGCCTTAGGAGGTGAAGAGTGGCACGGTTGCGGAATAAGAACACATTTGTTTTGCACTTCCGTTTGCACATTGCATGAATTTATTATCAGTTTTTTATGGACATTTCTACTATTTTTTTGGACTTCTTTGAGTAGTATATAAAGTGTGGTCACGTTATTACACTTGGAGCACTGCGAAAATTGTTTTTTCAAATGGTAGTTTATTTTTTATATATTTGTTTGATTATGTGGGCACTAAGTGATAGGGAATAATAATGAGTGGCACTTTATAATGAAGATATCTCACTTAATGATTTGTTTTTGATTAATTTTGTGACACTATTGCATGTGAGCACATTTATTGCAGTATTTGAGTTAGTATTGTTTCTTGAGCACTATTTATAATTCTATTAATATTTACACTGTTTGGGTAGCAGGTTAAGTGCTGCCAGCTTCCAGTAGGTGTATTTCCCTTTTGCGCAGGAGGATCTCTGTCTGAAAATATTTGTAACACCCACTAGGCAGATAGGCTTTGCTATTTTGTTAGATAGAGTCTGGTTAGCAGCCTGGGATGAGTCGGTATGGGAGTGTGGTATTGAGTTCACTTCAGGACAGGCTGGGAGGCTCTACAGGTCAGGACTTCTGGAGCCCTCCTAATCTTCCAGAAACTCAGAACTTTCTGGAAGAGGGGTGGAGGAGGGGAGGATGCCTAGATCTGCATTTTTGAGGAAACTTAGCCAATCCCCTGGCAGGAGGCGGGCATGGTGACCAAGGACAACCCTTAAACGTGGCAGAGCCTGTGCAGCAAAGTTAGTGTTGGGTGGAAGATGGACTGAGAGTAAGGGAGCCTACCTACAGGCAGGTTGCTGGAAAGAATGATCTCCACTGCCCAAAGTCTCCTATGGAGGACATCTTGTGCAGCAGGGAAGGAGCCAGACTAACCCACCAAGCTAACAGGATAGGGTAGTGTGAGTACTTCTACACCCCCTGGGCCAGACAAAGACACAGGTGCAAAACCCAACTAATTCTCATCCAGGACTACGTAAATGCTAGCTTTTGAAATCACTTGCCCAGGGATACCCTCAGTGCAGCTGGGTGAAGAGGAGGAATTCATTTGGGGTCTGAGGAAGTACACCAAGGGGAACTTCAGTGCTCCTTAGAAGAGACAGTGCTGTTTTTCTGTACACTTGTACAGTGTACAGATTGCTAAGAAGTATGTCCTCAAGTTTGCAGTTCCTTGGGCATCCCATATGCCCCTAGACCCAATCCAAGTTGTTAAAAAAAAAACAACTAAAAACCAGCCCAAGGACTGTATTACTGACTCTGTGTGTGTGTGAAGATGTGAAAAATGCATGTTGCCTGGCCATGCAAAGCTTAGGGGGACCCACAACTCATTGGCCCTCATGGGGGCAATGCTACATATTGAATCAAAGACAGCAAGGCAATCAGGTGTCCGTTTATGAACCAGCAGTAATAGATCACTGCTCAGTTCTCCGGAATTCTTGGAGAACACAGTTCTTCTCCTGTGAATGCTGTTTATGAAGCATATGTAGATCAGTTCTCCAAACGAAGGGAGAACGGTCTACAAATGCTGGAAAACGGCTGATTTTACTATAATCTCGCGAGATTACAGTAAAAGATCAGTTTACTAAACAGAGGTAAATTATCTCTGCTTAGTTTGTGGTCCCTCTGATTCTCCAGCTCTGGGCTGGAGAATCTGGAGGGAGAACACAGATCTCCAGTGAAGGGCTGAACATGTTCTCCTGGGTGTCATAAACTGTGAATGACCAGAGAATAGCTGCGATCCTCTGAATCGCAGCTATTCTGTGTGTCATAAACGGACACCTTAGTATTTTAGATGAATACATTCACAAACATTAGCACTAGAGAACCTGTTTTCTTACCCCTATATTATGGCAATTTCCACCTTAGTAGCCAGTCTCTAAGCACCATTGCTAACATGTCACTTAGGTTAGATCCATTGGGGATTCTAGTTTTAAGACCACTGAGATTTATGATGAGAATGTCTGCACACTATGACAACAGGAACAAAATAAGGAAGTGTATATATTTTTTTTTATTAGGTGCTTTATTAACAAGAAACTTTTTCAGATTGCAACAGGGTGTACATTGAGAGTCAACAGACTGCAATCTGTGCTGCCAGATGAAAGACATTTTTTCAAGAAAGATAGTCCTTCACATTAATATAACACCTCTTAATCCCTGATCAATAGTAGGTGAACCTCAGGCTAGCATTTCAGATCTCAAAGTCTGGTCCTTGGTGTATGGAAGGGGGGCAAAAAATATATTTGGACACCAATCACGTTAGTCTTTTTACCTTTAATTACTGAACTCCCCGACAGGAGAGAGGGTTTATGGTTGTAGGCAACCTGAAGATGGCATATAAATCGAGGAAAGATATTCCAAAGTAGTAGTAGTAGTAGTAGCAGTAGTAGGCCCTTTAAGAGCAGCCTCTTGGTAAAAGTCAGACAGATCTATGATTCTTTAGGAGTAGTCACTGACTTTCTTTAGTTGCAGTGAAAAATTCAGGCTGTTTTTCCCTTTTAGATGCAGTCAAAAATACCTTTATCTGCGGGCAATGAATGTCCCGATGCAGCTTTCAAACATTCATCATCTCCCAAGCCATAAAGCCCCTTAGGGTGTGGCTGAATCAGATAAATATTAATAACCCAGAGATATTGATCCCCCTGCATTGCTTACTGGAACCTCCTCTCAGCTATAGGTAGAACCACTCAGCCTCACCAGGCTAATGGAAGACCTGCAGAGCCAAGAAAAGGTAAATAACTCTTGATTGTTACAAGCTAGCAATATCACACACTAAATTTAGCTAGAGATACAACAGCATAGGGTAGGGTCCCAGAACATGCATTTGATAGAGCAGTGGTCACTAAATGGCGGACTGCGGTCCAAGAACCCTTCTGGACCGCCAGCCCACAATGACAGATCTGCCACTAAGCAGGGCCGTTGTCATGGCAACTAATGACATCACGTGTGCGTCCCTGCCCTCTGAAGCTCACTGTTTCTCCAGTTCCCGCTCCTTGCCTGTACACAAGCAAAGGATACTGACAGAGCTCCTTGCAGGGTGCAGTCTTACAGGGGCATACTGATGGGCACACTTTAATGTTAAAGGGTCATGCTGATGGACACATTTAATTATAAGATGCACTTTGATAGGAACAACATAGAATGTGCCCATCAGAGTGCCCCTTAACATAAAATGTATCCATCAGAGTGCCCCTTAATATAAATGTGACTATCAGAGTGCCTCTTAACATAAAGTGTGCCCAGCAGCATGCCCCTTATTTTATGTTAAGGGGCACTCTGATGGGAACATTTTATGTTAAGGGGCCCTCTGATGGGCCCATTTTATGTTAAGGGGCACTCTGACGGGTATATTTTATGTTAAGGGGGCACTCTGAAGGACACGTTATGTTAAGGGGGCACAAATGGGCACATACTGTGGAAAGGGGCACTCTGATGGGGAATATGATGTAATGGGGCACTCTGGTGGGCACATATGATGGAAAGGGGTACTTTGAGTGTAAGGGGGCACTCTGACAGGAATACTTGATGTAAGGTGGCACTGTGATGGGGATACCTGATGTAAAGGGGCACTCTGATGGGGACAATTGATGTATAGGGGCACTCTGATGGGCACACCTGATGTAATGGGAATACATGATGTAAAGTTGCACTCTGATGGTAAACAAATAAGTAGTGTAGCGCTTATGCCAAATAAATAAGTGCCAAAATATGCTAAATATTACCCTAAAAATAAAATGAAATAAAAATACTCCTTCATATATAGTAATCAAATACAGATAAGATTAGTGCCAAACTAAAATCTATTTCCCACTTGATGTAGTGAGTGCCTATTAGTAAATATCACAGTGCACACACACCTATAACAAACACAAATAAACAAAGGGCTATATCCAATAAAGGGTAATAAAGTATAATACACAGTGCTCACACAGTGCCAAAGTAAAACAGTGTCCTCTAAGTTGGAACAAACTCTTAGCAATGTCCTTTTGTGACAAACAATATAATCATGCACTGTAAAAATGGTGATATATCCGTGATTGTGTCAAAGGAAAACTCTTCTCCTGATAACGGCTAGATTGCCTCCTCACCTCCCTCCCAGTGACCCCAAAGGGCCAACAGGCTTGCAGGATCTCCCTGGATCCTTGGTTTATAATGGTCAGCAGCTTCCTTCCTTTACTGGGTCTCCTTATTGGGGCTCCTATCGCCCCTGGACAGCCAATCACAATCACGGATATATCACCATTTTACAGTGCATGATTATATTGTTTGTCACAAAAGGACATTGCTAAGCGTTTGTTCCAACTTAGAGGATACTGTTTTACTTTGGCACTGTGTGAGCACTGTGTATTATACTTTATTACCCTTTATTGGATATAGCCCTTTGTTTATTTGTGTTTGTTATAGGTGTGTGTGCACTGTGATATTTACTAATAGGCACTCACTACATCAAGTGGGAAATAGATTTTAGTTTGGCACTAATCTTATCTGTACTTGATTACTATATATGAAGGAGTATTTTTATTTCATTTTATTTTTTAGGGTAATATTTAGCATATTTTGGCACTTATTTATTTTGGCATAAGTGCTACACTACTTATTTGTTTATCACTAACACTGTTTTGGTATCAGTTTTTGAGTGTTTAGACTAGGCAGCTTTAGACTAGGGTGTACACTTCCATTCTTATAGCGCAGGAGGAACTCTAACCATTTGCACTCTGATGGCGACACCTAACGTAAGGGAGCACATTGATGGTCACACCCTATTCGGACTTCGGCCAGAAGAAAATTTTAGTGACTGGACCTCCTTGAATTTTATTTCAATGCCCTGTGATAGAGATTTCAAAGACAAGTACAAATGTGTAACTTCAAATGAAAGTGCAGCTGTACTTTAACAGTGGCAGTTGGCAATATTTTGGGTCTTGTCTTTGGGGATAATCTACAGACTATATTCCTTTTGATGTGTAAAGTTGCAGTGTAGCTGCTCATACCAGTCATGGAACAATTAAAGTACAACCAAAACTATTTTTTTTGGATAGAATGAGAAAGGGTTATAATTAGGGATGCACCGATACCGGTATCGGATTTGGTTCTGATAACGAGTATTTTCACGGTACTCGCACTCATAAAAATGCTGCTGAAAATGCTCCAGTCAATACAAATTGCACCACAAATATTGGCATGCAATTTGAACAAGAATGCGATTCCTGTCCAAATTGCATGAAGTTTCCCCACTGCTCCTGTATGAACCCAAGCTTGTCATGGCCAATGTTCACACAGGAGCAGTGGGGAAACCTCTCTGTAGGAATTCCATGCTGAGCAGAGAGTGGGAGAGTGGGGATGTATACTATGGAGGCAGATGCTCTATATTCCCAGCAGTAGGAGAGAAAGTGTCAGGGATTTGAAATCCCCACCACTTTCTTTCTTCTCCTTGCAGGGATGACAGTACGTGTTAGAGGCTCTTGATCAGTCAGTACCATCACATGGACGGTGCTGACCAATCAGATGCTGTCTAGCCTGTACTGTCACCGCTGCAAGGAGAGGAGAGAAAGCTGCAGGGATTTCAAATCCCAGACCCGTGAATCATCTTTCTCTCCTCTCCTTGCAGCGATGACAGTTCAGGCTAGACAGCATCTGATTGATCGGCACCATCCATGTGATGGTGCTGACCAATCAAAAGCCCACTAGCCTGAATTGTCATCCTTGCAAGGAGAGGAAAGAAAGCGGCAGGGATTTAAAAAATCCTCACTGCTTTCTCTCCTCTTCTACCACTACCACTCTCCGCTGTGTGAAACCTCCCTGCATAGCCTGTGTGAACTCAGGTTATGGCAGCCTGGGTTCACACAGAGGCAATGGGTAAACTGCATGTGATTTGGATGGGGATCGCATTCCTGTTCCAATCGCAAGCTATTCTTTGCAGTGCAATTTGCATACATTTTGTATTAATGCAAATTAGTATTGGTAATCTGTGTGGCAACACAATCTGGGGCTGGGCGGAGATTGTGCTGACGTCACCCACGCCTGTCTGGTGGTGTTTACGACTTACATGCTCGTTTGTCTTTGAAGTTTGCAAGTGTTTTTTTTTTATTTATTTTAATAAATCATTTGTATGTTATCACTAGAGATGAGCGGATCAAACATGGCGAAGTGGAATTCGTTTCGAATATTGGGAAATATTCGATTCGCGACGAATCCGAAGATTAGCCAACTTCGGATGCACGAATCGAATTTTCCCAAAAATGGCGGCGACATGTGTGGCGACGGAGCGGGGATCTCTGGGAAGGCGCGCAGACAAGGCGCGCTGACCCATAATGCATTCATTCATGACATGTGATCGCATTAGCCAATCAGCAGCCAGCCAGCCAGCACTGTGTAATGGTGGAGCTATAAATCGCGGCCATCTTAGAATTCTCCATTAGCCTCCGGTCATTCAAGAGAGACAGACCTGTCTGTATTGAGGGACAGAGTTAGGGCCACAGAGACTTTAGGGCCACAGAATCGTTACTCAGGGACACAGAACCGTTACTTAGGGACACAGAATTGTTACTCAGGGACACAGAATTGTTACTCAGGGACACAGAATCGTTACTCAGGGACAGACACAGAATTGTTACTCAGGGACACACAATCGTTACTCAGGGACACACAATCGTTACTCAGGGACACAGAATCGTTACTCAGGGACAGACACAGAATTGTTACTCAGGGACACAGAACCGTTACTTAGGGACACAGAATTGTTACTCAGGGACACAGAATTGTTATTCAGGGACACAGAATCGTTACTCAGGGACAGACACAGAATTGTTACTCAGGGACACACAATCGTTACTCAGGGACACACAATCGTTACTCAGGGACACACAATCGTTACTCAGGGACACAGAATTG